AAAAAAAACGAAAGGGGTAACACTGTCGTTTTTTTTTCGGGTCGAAATTTTGAATTTCGATATCTCAGCTCTGGAAGGTCTAGAGCCTCCATTTTTGCACTCAGGTCAAAGTCTCACAGCCCTCTATCATAATCCAGAGTTTTGAGAAGATTGGAGAAACTTAATTTTTCGCCCAAAAATGAAAAAAAAACGAAAGGGGTAACACTGTCGTTTTTTTTTTCGGGTCGAAATTTTGAATTTCGATATCTCAGCTCTGGAAGGGTCTAGAGCCTCCATTTTTGCACTCAGGTCAAAGTCTCACAGCCCTCTATCATAATCCAGAGTTTTGAGAAGATTGGAGAAACTTAATTTTTCGCCCAAAAATGAAAAAAAAACGAAAGGGGTAACACTGTCGTTTTTTTTTCGGGTCGAAATTTTGAATTTCGATATCTCAGCTCTGGAAGGGTCTAGAGCCTCCATTTTTGCACTCAGGTCAAAGTCTCACAGCCCTCTATCATAATCCAGAGTTTTGAGAAGATTGGAGAAACTTAATTTTTCGCCCAAAAATGAAAAAAAACGAAAGGGGTAACACTGTCGTTTTTTTTTTTCGGGTCGAAATTTTGAATTTCGATATCTCAGCTCTGGAAGGGTCTAGAGCCTCCATTTTTGCACTCAGGTCAAAGTCTCACAGCCCTCTATCATAATCCAGAGTTTTGAGAAGATTGGAGAAACTTAATTTTTCGCCCAAAAATGAAAAAAAACGAAAGGGGTAACACTGTCGTTTTTTTTTCGGGTCGAAATTTTGAATTTCGATATCTCAGCTCTGGAAGGGTCTAGAGCCTCCATTTTTGCACTCAGGTCAAAGTCTCACAGCCCTCTATCATAATCCAGAGTTTTGAGAAGATTGGAGAAACTTAATTTTTCGCCCAAAAATGAAAAAAAAACGAAAGGGGTAACACTGTCGTTTTTTTTTCGGGTCGAAATTTTGAATTTCGATATCTCAGCTCTGGAAGGGTCTAGAGCCTCCATTTTTGCACTCAGGTCAAAGTCTCACAGCCCTCTATCATAATCCAGAGTTTTGAGAAGATTGGAGAAACTTAATTTTTCGCCCAAAAATGAAAAAAAACGAAAGGGTAACACTGTCGTTTTTTTTTCGGGTCGAAATTTTGAATTTCGATATCTCAGCTCTGGAAGGGTCTAGAGCCTCCATTTTTGCACTCAGGTCAAAGTCTCACAGCCCTCTATCATAATCCAGAGTTTTGAGAAGATTGGAGAAACTTAATTTTTCGCCCAAAAATGAAAAAAAACGAAAGGGGTAACACTGTCGTTTTTTTTTCGGGTCGAAATTTTGAGTTTCGATATCTCAGCTCTGGAAGGGTCTAGAGCCTCCATTTTTGCACTCAGGTCAAAGTCTCACAGCCCTCTATCATAATCCAGAGTTTTGAGAAGATTGGAGAAACTTAATTTTTCGCCCAAAAATGAAAAAAAACGAAAGGGGTAACACTGTCGTTTTTTTTTCGGGTCGAAATTTTGAATTTCGATATCTCAGCTCTGGAAGGGTCTAGAGCCTCCATTTTTGCACTCAGGTCAAAGTCTCACAGCCCTCTATCATAATCCAGAGTTTTGAGAAGATTGGAGAAACTTAATTTTTCGCCCAAAAATGAAAAAAAACGAAAGGGGTAACACTGTCGTTTTTTTTTTCGGGTCGAAATTTTGAATTTTGATATCTCAGCTCTGGAAAGGTCTAGAGCCTCCATTTTTGCACTCAGGTCAAAGTCTCACAGCCCTCTATCATAATCCAGAGTTTTGAGAAGATTGGAGAAACTTAATTTTTCGCCCAGAATGAAAAAAAAACGAAAGGGGTAACACTGTCGTTTTTTTTTCGGGTCGAAATTTTGAATTTCGATATCTCAGCTCTGGAAGGGTCTAGAGCCTCCATTTTTGCACTCAGGTCAAAGTCTCACAGCCCTCTATCATAATCCAGAGTTTTGAGAAGATTGGAGAAACTTAATTTTTCGCCCAAAAATGAAAAAAAAAACGAAGGGGTAACACTGTCGTTTTTTTTTCGGGTCGAAATTTTGAATTTCGATATCTCAGCTCTGGAAGGGTCTAGAGCCTCCATTTTTGCACTCAGGTCAAAGTCTCACAGCCCTCTATCATAATCCAGAGTTTTGAGAAGATTGGAGAAACTTAATTTTTCGCCCAAAAATGAAAAAAACGAAAGGGGTAACACTGTCGTTTTTTTTTCGGGTCGAAATTTTGAATTTCGATATCTCAGCTCTGGAAGGGTCTAGAGCCTCCATTTTTGCACTCAGGTCAAAGTCTCACAGCCCTCTATCATAATCCAGAGTTTTGAGAAGATTGGAGAAACTTAATTTTTCGCCCAAAAATGAAAAAAAAAACGAAAGGGGTAACACTGTCGTTTTTTTTTTCGGGTCGAAATTTTGAATTTCGATATCTCAGCTCTGGAAGGGTCTAGAGCCTCCATTTTTGCACTCAGGTCAAAGTCTCACAGCCCTCTATCATAATCCAGAGTTTTGAGAAGATTGGAGAAACTTAATTTTTTCGCCCAAAAATGAAAAAAAACGAAAGGGGTAACACTGTCGTTTTTTTTTCGGGTCGAAATTTTGAATTTCGATATCTCAGCTCTGGAAGGGTCTAGAGCCTCCATTTTTGCACTCAGGTCAAAGTCTCACAGCCCTCTATCATAATCCAGAGTTTTGAGAAGATTGGAGAAACTTAATTTTTCGCCCAAAAATGAAAAAAAAAAAACGAAAGGGTAACACTGTCGTTTTTTTTTTCGGGTCGAAATTTTGAATTTCGATATCTCAGCTCTGGAAGGGTCTAGAGCCTCCATTTTTGCACTCAGGTCAAAGTCTCACAGCCCTCTATCATAATCCAGAGTTTTGAGAAGATTGGAGAAACTTAATTTTTCGCCCAAAAATTAAAAAAAAACGAAAGGGGTAACACTGTCGTTTTTTTTTTCGGGTCGAAATTTTGAGTTTCGATATCTCAGCTCTGGAAGGGTCTAGAGCCTCCATTTTTGCACTCAGGTCAAAGTCTCACAGCCCTCTATCATAATCCAGAGTTTTGAGAAGATTGGAGAAACTTAATTTTTCGCCCAAAAATGAAAAAAAAAAACGAAAGGGGTAACACTGTCTTTTTTTTTCGGGTCGAAATTTTGAATTTCGATATCTCAGCTCTGGAAGGGTCTAGAGCCTCCATTTTTGCACTCAGGTCAAAGTCTCACAGCCCTCTATCATAATCCAGAGTATTGAGAAGATTGGAGAAACTTATTTTTTTCGCCCAAAAATGAAAAAAAAAACGAAAGGGGTAACTGTCGTTTTTTTTTCGGGTCGAAATTTTGAATTTCGATATCTCAGCTCTGGAAGGGTCTAGAGCCTCCATTTTTGCACTCAGGTCTAAGTCCTATGGCCCTCTATGAAAATCCAGAGTTTCAAGAAGAATGGAGAAACTTATATTTTTCGCACCAAAAAAAAAAAAAACGACAGGGGTAACACTGTCGGGTTTTTTTTTTGGGTCGAAATTTTGAGTTTCTCTGATCTTCTTGAAACTCTGCATTCTGATAGAGGGCCATGGGACTTAGACCTGAGTGCAAAAATGGAGGCTCTAAACCCTTCCAGGGCTGAGATATTGAGATATTTATAAAAGCATAAATGCTACGTGGGATCTCAATATCTCCGCTCTGGAAGGGTCTAGAGCCTCCATTTTTGCCCTCAGGTCTATGTCCCATGGCCCTCTATTAGAATCCAGAGTTTCAAGAAGATCAGAGAAACTCAAAATTTCGACCCCCCCCCCTCCCCAAAAAAAACGACAGTGTTACCCCAGTCGTTTTTTTTTTTTTTGGTGCGAAAAAATAAGTTTCTCCAATATTCTTGAAACTCTGGATTCTGATAGAGGGCCATGGGACTTAGACCTGACTGCAAAAATGGAGGCTCTAGACCCTTCCAGAGCTGATATATTGAGTTATTTATAATGGCATAAATGCTACGTGGTATCTCAATATCTCAGCTCTGGAAGGGTCTAGAGGCTCCATTTTTGCACTCAGGTCTAAGTCCCATGGCCCTCTATCAGAATCCAGAGTTTCAAGAAGATCAGATAAACTCAAAATTTCCCCCCCCCCCCCAAAAAAAAATAAAAACGAGTGTTACCCCTGTCATTTTTTTTTAGTGCGAAAAAATAGGTTTCTCCAATCTTCTTGAAACTCTGGATTCTGATAGAGGGCCATGGGACTTAGACCTGAGTGCAAAAATGGAGGCTCTAGACCCTTCCAGAGCTGAGATATTGAGATCCCATGTAGCATTTATGTCATTATAAATATCTCAATATCTCAGCTCTGGAAGGGTCTAGAGCCTCCATTTTTGCACTCAGGTCTAAGTCCTATGGCCCTCTACCAGAATCCAGAGTTTCAAGAACATCAGAGAAACTTTTTTTTCCACCGAAAAAGTTGACAGGGGTCTCCCTGTCGGTTTTTTTCATGTCGAAATTTTGAGTTTCTCTGATGTTCTTGAAACTCTGGATTCTGATGGACTCTTGGACTTTGGATTCTGGACATGATCTTTAACACTTAGGCTGTCTTCAAAAGGGGACTAAGCAGACTGTACTTTGGTTGTGAACTTTTTTTTAATTATATTTTATATTATATTATATTTTTATCATATTTTTATTATATATTACTTTATTCTAGGCTATCAATTACTTCCAGACTTGTAAAACCTACCCGGGTGTCAAAGGCATGTGCATCAGAGAGGTGATGCTCCTGTAACTCAGTCCTCCATGGTGTCAATCCTCTCTATAGGGACAGCTGAAGAGGCATGCTGCGTTTCCTTCAGGCGATGGCGGTTGTCGACCAGTAGTTTCAGGACCTTTTTCTGGAACACTGAAATAAACAAACACATTTGGTGAGGATTACAATGCTCTAATTAGAATAGCAAAGTTTGCTAGCTCACAAGAGAGAAGGTGTCTATTAAAAGTGTCTTCTCCAATATCTCAATACTTACCACAAAGGCAATGGGAAGGCCAATCTCCCAGTCTCTCACTGCATCTATACCACACAAAATGTGTTTTAGAAGTTATTATCAAATGATGAAACTGAACAGATTTATAAGATGATAAATAATAAATCTGCAATGTTATAACAATTAGAGGTACATCTATAAAACTTGCTGAACTGCAAAGTACTTTAAGGAAAATTGCAGCCTTAATTGTAAAAAAATTCAAAATTACTTGATTTCTTGTTCAAAGCAATGTGTGCACTGCTTGACAGGCAGCCAGTGTGATATGACTACCACCTGAATAGCAAAATAATCCTAAATGAGCGTAGTGTGAACGCAGCCGACTCACCATGTCTGTCATGGGGCTGCTGAGATCACTGCGCTGTGCTCTTTTATCATGTCTGGACCTGGCCGGGGGACTGGGGGCATCACTACGGAATCGGTCTTCATGGATTTATTAGTTCCATATGGTTATACCTGAAATTAAAATAATTTTGTTATTATAATTTATAATATGATGTTTCCTGTTGTGTTAGTATGTGCACTGGAAGCCTCAGCACACAATCAAATTCCTTGTCTGTGCAAGCACACTTGGCAATAAAGCTCTTTCTGATTCAGATTCAAAGTAATATAGCAGTGATATGAAGATGTGTGCCTCGCACCATCACTGTACGTGCTGTTACTACTTTGCATTTGTGTCTCTCTTCCTCTTCTTATTAAAAAAAAAATAAGAAATGTAGACATTATATGGGTGCAGGTACATGAAAGCATTACTTTTTTGATCATTTATTCAGTTTTATCACTGCATGTTTGACTCTGTGACAGTTTCTTTTAAATAAACAGTTTTATATCACTTTTAAAAATGTTTACTTAATGTTTTGAGCAGTTATTATTAAACTTCTTCATTTTTAATGCAATGGTTGATTGACAGGTGAGTTCCCTGTTGTCCTGGATGCATTACCAGTGTTGGGTCTAATGCCTTAAGAAATTAATTTCTGATTAATTACTTTTCCCTTGAAAAAGTTAAGTAAATGTAACAATTTAAGTCAATTTCAACCTTTTTCTCGAAATTTTACGTTTTTTTTCTCTAAACAACTTTTTCTCGAAATTTAACGAGTTTAATCTCGCATTATGATAACTGTAATCTCGAGATGGTTTTACTTTTTTACTATTGCTTGGCCCTAATCCTCTTCCGTAAGTAAGGGATTACTTTAACTTATTTATTTATTTTTCTGTAATTTAACTGACGTAATTGTATTAAATAGTGTATGGACTATAGAACAATATATATATATATATATATATATATATAACAATTTAACATCAGAATTCAATGTTAACCCTTAAATGTATGAATATTTTGCCAATAATTATTACATATTCAGGTCTTTAGCAACCTGGATCTACTGTATATGAAACATGGATGGATCTCTACCTGTCGCTATAATATAAAACTTATATTGTTACCTTTTGCATTTCCCAGTACATTCAGCATCTGAATCATATTTGCAATCTCAAACATATTTTCAAAACTATCATTTTTAACATCGTCAAAATCATTATTCAGCATCACCAGATCCACCATGAAGTGACCGTGTCACTCATATTTGACTGCATTCAGTATTTGCAGTAAATCACTGAGCCATTTCAAGTTTTGCTGATACTTCATACAGTTTTGTTTTCTGCCTGCTGTAACTATGAGTGAAACGCCACTTCATCATGGTGTATTAGACATTGCCACTTTGTGGAATAATGATGAATTGCACTTGATCAGTCATCAAAGATATTGTTGTGCAGAAAAAAAAAAAAAATATATATATATATATATATATATATATATATTAGGGGTGTAACGGTGCATGTATTCGTATTGAACCGTTTCGGTTCGAGGCTTCCGGTTCGGTATGCATACAAACCGAACGATTGCTTGGACCATTTTTCCTGCCGGCAAAATTCGTGCTGACGCGGCCAACACAACGTTGCGCAACATCAAATGGCAAGCGTAATGAAAGCAGAACGAAACTGCGCTACTCGTTATGTGCTTCACGGATCGTTTATCAGTTCGGACCAGCAACATCTGTGCAGCGCGAGCCGATCTCGATCAAGCAACAATGTTACTACATAGCGCTTAGAGATCCGGTAAAGAAAACATTTGAATTCGCCACTGAGGTAATAACATCGCTGCGAGATCTAGTGAGATGCATTCACATTTCTCCGTTATTAACCGTAGATCTCTATTAGATTAAACAGCGCTGTCATGGAAACCAGGAGAAACATTGTGCCGTGAATGAACTATAGTAATACTTTCGTCCACAGACCAGCAACATTCACCATGGATTTAATATAGTAACACTAACTGGAACCAGTTTGGAATGGTGAAATGCTTTCAAGTACTTCACACATCTTTTTCCAGCACTTCAAAATTCAAATATTATATAAATAAATATATATTTAAAAGTTATTTTTAATGTGATGACCAAAACATTATTTGTTCATCCTTCAAAGATGACCCCCATTTATAAACCTGAAAGTTTCAAGATCTAGGACAACTCACACTTATTTAAAAATATTTTTTCTTTAAACAAATAGGAAATTTCTCTGGCATTTCTTTCTTTTTGCTGTATCGAAAACGTACCAAACCGTGACTTTAAAACCGCGGTACGTACCGAACCGTGATTTTTGTGTACCGTTACACCCCTAATATATATATATACTTACACTGTTACACACCTCGGGTTGTTAGTGACCCTACCATTTTTTACAAAAAACTGAGAACACAGGTATTCTTTTATAATTTAATTATTTTTTTTCTTGTTGTATTGTTTGTAATAAATTGATTGAGGAATACTAAGAAGGCTGATGTCTAACTTTAAAAAAAATTAAGGAACATCCTAGTTCTGGCCTCATTCATCTTTCTGATAAACGAAAAGGAGGAGCTTATTGGATGGATGTGTGAATTATGAAATGGCACCTAATCATGTGCTGAGTGTATGAAAATGAGTGTGAAGGGTGAGAGGTGACAGCCTGTCACTTGCAGGCAATGAGTCAGAAAAGAGGCATAAACAACCAAATTCAATTAGCAGAAAAAAAATTCTGACTGACATTGACAGCGACTGGAGGGGTTACAAAAAAATAGTTTAGGCTCCTGTGTAATCGTAGCCTATTAAGCAACTCAAACATACCAACAATTACTAAAAACATATTTTGCGTGGGCATTGCGATTCATTTTTGAAGTAGTGATTCATTTTTGAAAAAAGTAGCGATTTAACTGAATCTGTAAGTCAGCTACACAGTTTAATTCTGAATATTATATTTTATTCTGCAGTGTTACTTCTCAGAGTTTAGGATCCTGTGTAATTATAGCCTTGGCTATTAAGCAACTCAAACTAAAAACAGATTTTGCGCAGGCATTGCACTAGTTATTACAAATAGACAGAACATTGGAAGACTGATCCTTGGCAACTGTCACTAGAAACAATATTAAAAGTATGAATCGCAAAACAAGCAGCTTTGTGGGAAATCCGTCATATGGAGATTTCTCATTTAATTTAACTATAACCCTGCTCCTTTTCAACCTTCTGTGGTGGCCAAACAACAGGACCCAGAACACACAGAGAAAATACACAATTAACCCAATTTCCACACAAAAGCCTTTCCCCAAACAGTAAGACAGCAAAGTTCATGCCCTCTCACAGCCATGCTGGAGATTTTAAAACATCAGAAATGAAAATGAAGATGATGGGGTGGGGGGTGGGGTTTACAGGTAACAGAATACTTGTACAGGTAACAGAATACTTGCAAAATGCTTGATTTAAATAATTCAAAAGGCTTCTGAAATAAACTTCAATTGCGAGTATTGATTCCACAGAATAACGGCCATGAAAGGTCATTCATTTGAAAGGCTTTGTGTCACCCACAAAGTGTCCAAGTTGTTTATTCAAAATCTATTTCACATCCTGCCCATAATCCCAACCAGTTTTTTATGTTATGACCTTCGCTAACTAGTGGCACAGTATAGATTTAGCTCTTGTGTAGTATTTAATGACTCATTTGTTTTCCTAGCATGTTTACTTTGGTGGCACCTTTAATGCCATGTGTTAAGAGATAAATGGATAGGACTATTTCATCCAGTGTGCTTCTCTTATTCATCTTTAAATGTTTCAGCACTGCACTATAAACAGTCTTAATGGAGAACACTCTCCTGACAAATGAGAGCTGTAAATTAAGTCAATTGCCCTTTGTATGAGACAGAAAGAAGGAGAGTGTGTAACAGAGAGGGAATGTCTAGTCTAATTTAATAGCACTAAACACATCACAGCAAAGGTCAGATATCTCATATTTAGTTTTTTATAGAGCGGCAGAAGTCTGACTCTGTCGCTGATGTTTTTTTTCTATATGGCACTGAGAGTCGGTCATGATTTCATTAGCGTAATTCAAACCGCTCATTTGTTTCGAGTAATAAATTGACTCCTGTTTCTCCCCCAACTAAAGAGGTCTCTGGTCAATATCATAAGCCGTTAAATAAGCCATGTTTTTTATACCCCATAATCCTCTCAGTTTTTGCACAATTGTTTGACCTGCCGCAGCATCATTATTTCTGTAAGAAGATTTAAAATAATTTCTACTAAATCTCCATTGTCAGTAGCATTGACAAAGAAGAAGAAGAAAAAAAAAATTTAGTCTTCAGAATGCCATCAACAGAGGGATGTGGCAGGTATAGCATGTTTTTTTGGTGCTTATTTATTTATTTATTTTTCAGAAAATATTTAGCCTAAACCCATTGCCTCATTTCTATTGATAACATGTGACTTTTCATAAAGTCAAAAACAATTAAACGTTGACACAATACATTTACATTCATAGCACCCATGCAGTGTAAATGTGAATAAAGTCTATAATGTGAATTACTGCATTTAATTGTTGTATTATGTGCACTGTTAATCAATGCAAAAACATCTTCAATAGACCTTATGTCGCACTGCGCCATTTCAACTCTGCATTCGTTGGGTTCTGTCTTCCAGTTTGCATTTCCAAAGCATGAAGTTAAGGGCTGCGTCCGAATACCGTCTTGTTTTCTCGCCGCCCTATCAGGCAATAACTTTGCAGGCAGTGTTTACGCACGAAGGTACCTCATGAAAATGATTTCAGTCAGATTTGTGAGAAAGTGTAACAGTTTAATGATCCACAGCAAAATAGAGCAACTTTGGTGAAAACTAAGGGAATATTTAATGACTACAGACGGCATCTTTATTTTTCTAGCTCAACTCTTTTAGAATGGATAGCACAGGATTGTGGGATATAATAAAGGATACATCTATGCAGTCTTCAAGATTTGATCAGATGAAGGTATCTCAGGAGACAGGAAGTGAAACTAACATTGGATTTGGAAGGGCATTGATGCCTTCCTAAATTGGAGTGCATCCTCCAAAGGCAACAGCAATCAGTTTTCGGACGCAGTCAAGATCTTAAGGATTTAT